GGCAGTGTAGAGTAGCACTTGTTGTTTGTCATTTCTCCAATCACAAATGTAGACATGGTTTTATGTTACGCTCCGGCCTGATAGGGCATCACAGTATGGTAAGGGTCTTAACATTTCCGTCTCACGCTTGAGGTATTCGGACAATCACAACGCACTGGATAGCTGGCCAATCAGAGCACACCTCGCTTTTCAGACCGATGAGCTTTGTAAAAATCGACGCGTTTCAGAAAGGCGGGGCATAGAGGAGAAACAAAAATGTACAGTATGTGGAAAATAATGTGTTTTTTGAACCTTAAACCGCATAAACACATTTCATTACACCAAATACACAAAAAAATGTTCTTTTTAGCAACATCATATGACCCCTTTAAACCAATTTACTTTTAACTTTTTTGGGAGAAGGAAAGTGATAATGATCATTGAGGCTAGGAAATACAGAGCGCTTTCTGACCCATAACCTAATAAAAACAATATTATTTAGTAATTCATGGAAAAAAAAATGCAGCTTTGCAGATGGATGTAAAGCTGATCGTAAATTTGAATGCATGATCAAATGGCACAATCATTTATTCTGCACACTAGAGTGATCCTCCATACACAGAAACTTTCTCACTTTTAGGCAGGTAATAAAAAAGCCCTTACCATTTTCCTCATGTTCATCCTCTTTAAAGCTGATGGATCCAGAGCTGCTGCTTGAACCATCATCTGATGTACTTTTATCATCACAGAGTCCAAAGTCTTTGTCACTCAGGCCGAGGTCATGCTCATTAAGAATGAGATCAGAGAGTTTCAGCTCTTGCAGACTGCTTGATGACAACTCACTGCTGAGAGACAGTCTGCTTTTGACCACAGGGGTTGAAGAGTCTGAGTCACTCTCCTCCTTCACCTCAAAGTCTAAAGAAATTGCTTGCAAATTAACTGTGTTTGTCAAGGTTGTGCCATTCATTTGCCCTGACTCAAGTGTCTTTTCTGCATCATGAACCTGTTGAAGCTTGAGTCCATTAGAGACAGGTAGGTGCATGATGGGTGGTATAATAAGGGAAAGATTGGGCTTCTTAGGTGATATAGGAGGCTTCTGTTTCAGCTGAGAACTTTGAGGAGAAGCTGAGGAGTTTGTGCATTGCAGAAGCTCATGGGAAGATAAAACTGGAGATGTCTCAGAAAGTTGCACTGAAACATTCTGCCCAGTATTGCTGACATGTTCATCTGGGCCAGGAGGTAAAGAACCAGTTGATGCCTCAGGAAAATCTTGTATAAATTTGTTCACTAAATATTCATGTTCAGATGTATCCGTGCCATTTTCGGACTGACTAACACAGATAGCATTCACTGTTTGCGCTGTAGTCTCACTTTCCAGGGACTTTCCTGAGTTTGTTTGAAAATGGTTGTGTGCTTGGTCATCAAAATCATCAAAACTGACTGCTGTAAAAATATCTTCTATTTGCTTGAACTTGACAGGTCGTAGCTGCACCATCTGAAGAGCTTGGGCAGTAATTATTGGTCTCTGAGTCTTTTCTTGCTCTCCAGTGTGGTTGATGTTTAGTGCTTTTTCAATTTCCACAGCCTTCTTAGGTGTAAGACAACTCTCTGTGTTCAAAATGGCTGCTGTCTGAAGACTCATCTCCGGTAATGATGGAGGAGGTGGAGGAGGAGGAGATGGAATGAACAGTGAAGGTTTGGGAGGAAGAAGTGAAGGAGGTGGAGGACTATTTGTACCTTCATTTCTTGACAGAGATTCAAAAACCTTTGGTGGGGGAGGGGGGAAATCAATACAGGCACACTTTTCAGATGTTGTGGATGAATCTGAAAGTGAATTATGTCTCTCTTCCAAGTCAGGTAGAAGAGGAAGAGGTGAGGCTGAGTCTACCATAGCTGCTGTTGGAGAGCAGTAAGTGGGGCTGGTTGATCCACATGATGTAATGGTCATATCAGGTAGAGGTGGAGGTAGCGGTATGTTTCTGATGGAATCTGAGGTGTTAGAGGACAAAGATGTAGAGGAGGACGACACAGAAGACCGCAGGGAGGACTTTCTTTCGGGCACTTTTGGTTTTGGCCTCCCTGCAGGAGATTTTGCTCTTATTAGAGAAGTAACTGGGGTGCCTGCAGTTGGAGTGTTGGACTGACTTGAATAACCACTTGATGGTGATGTCAGACGATGAACCTTGTCAGGTGATGAGGCCAGTTTTGACTGAATCCCACTACTGTTGCAGTGGGACGATGGAAATCCGATGTTGTAGGATGCATTGACCATGTTTACTTGATTCTCCTCAGCACTATCAGATCTTGTGATTTGGGAGGAGAGATCCTGGTCAGACCGTGGACCTTGGTAATCCATGTAGAAGTCCCACGACTCTGCATAGTCTGAGCGCTGACTGCTACAATCACTGTGTGTGGGTGTGACCGGACAAACAGCAGCTGGTGCAGACATCCCACTGCTTGCTGCACTTGTGGTGCTCTGGCTTCTGGGTCGAAGTACCCAAGGGTCTTCAAACCCACTGCAGGGTGCCTGTTCAGAGCAAGATGCACTATGAGTTTTTAGGTTAAGCTCTAAGGACTGTTGGAGGCTGCAGATCAACTGCTCACTAAGGACTGAGCCATTTTGATAAGGCTTCCTCTGAGGTTTGCGCCTTAATGAATCAGTCCTCGCTGGAGGGAGTGGGGGCTTCTTGGCTTTCCGCAGGGAAATGCTGCGAGTCAGGGAGCGGTTGCTGTGCAGACTTGCATTATCCCCTTGACTGTGGTGGTCCTTGCACTCATATAAACTGTGCTTTGCATCTCCTGCTTTATTGATGGAGCCATGACTATGTGACTTTAAACCAGAGTCCAGGCGCATTGAGGTGTAGTAACCTTCGTTTTCAACAGAGAACAATGAGCTTGAGTCCGTCTTGCTGGGAGAATGTTCCTCACTGTTGTATATATGGCTGACAGGTGAGGAGAAACTTGAGGTGACATTGTCCTTTGAAGATACATCATATGTCCACTGGTCAGTGGTTAGAGTGCTGCAGCTTTGATTGCTGCTCTCCGAGAAGTTGGAATCCCTGCGGACACAGTTATGACTGCCGCAGTTTCTGCCATCAAGTGTGCTGCACTGGGACTCAGTCTCTGTATGGGTCCCGGTACAGAGGGAGGTTGTGGATTCGTAACAGGAGGAGACAGCCGACAACAAGGCATCAGCAGTATTAAGCAACTGGGCTGAGGAATGAGGTGATTGCATCTGGTTATCCTCTGTCCTTTTGTGTCCGTAAAGAATGGAGTTCTGTAGTGCACCACTGAGACTGAACAAGCTTGGGCTATTATTTTGGTCAGAGCCTTGGTAATTTGGATTTTCAGCAAGCTTGGGGCTGTTTAATGTACTGCTTCTGGAATCGGACAGCATATGCAGTGACGATGAGGAACCATGCTGCATGTCAAACTGGTAGGACAAGGAGCTTGTAGAGCCATAATTTATCCTGTAGGGGGAGCTGTTGTACTTTGGTTCACAGTGTTGATGTTGGATGTGAGAACCTTGTCGTGGCAAACTGTGAAAGCTCTGACCACTGTCATTAAGCTGAGTGTAGCTAATTCCATTACAGTCACTCATGGTGGAAATGCTGCTTGAGGAGGAGACGCTGGCCATTTGGGCGGCAATTCCGTGGCCTCTTTGTGCTCTGATTCTGCGTACTGAGGGAGGAACAATCTTCACCTCTTCTGTTTGGCAGCTGGAGTCACGGGTGTCTGAGCGTCTGAGGGTGGAGTTTACGCTGCCCACTCGACTGAGGGTGGAGTACTGATCTGCCATACACATCGAGTGAATACTGTCATCTTGTTCTTTATTTGCTGTAAGACAATAAGGAATGGGAATTATAGATATAAGGTGTATGTTTGCCCTTGATTGTCTTTCCTAATGATTTTATAGTTATCAAAAATAATTGTAGTTAAAATATATAAAAAAAAATATATACAGAATATAGTAAAATATAAAAAATAATCAGTAAAATAAATAATAATTCACTAAAATCAATTAAATAATAATTCAGATTTAAAAGTATATACTATCTAACTTCAGCCTCCCACATGTATTAAAGATGCATTCAGTAATTTTATCTTTATTTTGCGTTAACATGGCAGTCATCTTGGACTACACCGACACCTAGTGGCCTAAATGCAATATCATGCTGAAAAAGAAAACTTTTTTAAATTACCAATGCCATTGCACAAATGCTATACTAGCAGTCAGATTAATGCATTTCCACCAACAAAATGTCCAACAATGGGTCATGGCAGCCCTAGGAGGTGACACTCAATGTAAAATAAAACAGCTTTTATTAGACTACTGATATGACTGGACAGATTTTTGGTTTGGGGATATATATTTATTTAATTAAAGTACTCTTCATTCCTTCATGTATAAAACTTCTAATTTCTGAATGCTAAAAAATTACGGAGTGCAACTTTAAATTGTTTGAGAGGGGTGCAAAGTACTGTATAGGACTGCAACAATGAATAGGAATCATACCTAGTTCAGTCTGGATGTTATCAATAACTCCTGTTATTGTCTTTCTTCTTTGCACCCTCTTGGGTCTTCGTATCATGGTATCAGTGTTTGCTGCGGAGCGACGGAAGCTGGCCTGACTGTCAAAGTTCTCACCTAAAGATGTCAAAACACAGAAAACCATTGCTTATTAATAGCATGCCTCATGCTAAGACATGAGCACAACACTACAACGCAGTTAGGGATGCACGTAATATCACCAAACAAAATGCATGATATATCTACAAATAATACAGACAGATTTCTTTTAATTTATCAGTTTTTGTCCATATTGGGTATATTTAATATTGGGTGTATATATATATATATATATACTTTTAAAGGCGCTATATAAAATAAATGTATTATTATTATTATTTGTGTCAATATTGGCTATTTAATTGTACATGCTCATTTTCCCTATTTTTACATTTAGATTACCTTTGTCATCTTATGCTCACACTAACAATTTAAAAACACTATTAAATGTAATTTTGAGCAGATCTGAAATTAATATCTATTTGACTTATTATAACATGAAAATTATAACAATTATAACATGAAAATTATTATTGGCTTATTGGCCAGAGTTTTTAATATTGTTGCATCCCTAATTGTAGCTGAAAAGAACTGAAATAATTAGAGGAACCCACTGAAATTATTATTAACCCACTGTCCACATGAACTGTTTAGTGAAAAAAATATGTGATTAACCACAGAGAAGTTAAGGCCACTGCTCTAAAAACTTCAAGCTTCAAGTGATATTTCATGATTTAACAATGGATGTACCTGTAATGTTGATGGGAATGATATTAGTGGCCACCGACTGGGCCTGTAGTCTCATCTTCTGCTCAGGAGTGGGCAAAGGTAGACAGCTGGTCCAGCTTCTCTGGATGTCCGGGTCATGCTCCAGCAGAGGGGTCTGAGGCGGCATCGAGTACACAAGCTTCTCCTCTTCATTAGGTGACTCTGAAGCCTGGACACAACACAAACAGGCTGATTTAATGAGGTCAGGCTTCGGTGAATGATAGCCTAGCCAGTGCCCAGTGATAGGCATTGTCTGATATTTCGTCATTTCTACTGATAAATCACTTTAGTGCTTTTCAAAATGAGCAAAGTAAAAAAAGATTCTTGGAGTGCATTTCCCTCCAGTAACTTCGGGTGACTGAAATATTTCTCTGAGCAATAAGCCCAGGGGAGCCCTGAATGGAGGAGAGCTACTCTCTAAATTATTCATGCTAATTTGAGATCAGTGTTACAGTCAGTGTATTCAACCATAATGTGTCTCGATAATCTTTTATGTTATTTATTTATTTTTTTGGCAAAAAGACAAATTGGATTCTATTGTTCTGCTTTGCATAACCAGTTCTTATAAATTTGCAAGATTGCTTGAGGGAAATACACAATCTAATTATGTATTAATGTCTAATTTGTGTAATCTACCATACTCAACTAAGTCTTTGAGGTGAAAACACACTCACGGCGGGTGACTAGCACTAGTAGGTTTTGTATGAAGATGCTATGAGGACTTGTTAGGATCTGAAACCACCCTTCACAATGTACAGCGCTACCACTGACTAGCAACTGCAGCAAAAGCTGTACCTTTTTTTTCCAAGGTCTCAAATGACAGCAGAGAGAGAGGCAAGACTGTGATAGGCAGTCTAGGACTTTAAACCGCTTGGTGAGAGGAAAGAAAAATTTTAAACAAAAGAAGACATTACCTTTATTTAGGATTACAGAATGTGGAACAAATATTTTCTAGTTCTACTCATTTATTATAGTGCTATACTTCACTGCTAGCATGCATACAGCCACTAGTGGGCAGTGCAAAACAAGTGACCCAAACATGAGTTCATTTCAAGTATTTAGGAAAAAAGGCCTTTGTCTGTTTCATGAACATATGAGCATTTAATAGATTTCATTATAATACAATATAACAATTAATCAATTCTTGGACTACATAATTAAAAGCCATTCCACTGACAGGATTTTGGTGATTAATATGGTGAAATTGATTATAAATGGCATGACATATTGCATAGCCAAACAAAATTAAAGTTTTTTTTTTCTCTAGCAACAGCATGTATGTGAATGTAAAGAGAAGTACTGTGTTTAAATTTGTGTTCGGTTAGGTTTACCTTCTTTTTCTTCTCCGTCTTCTCCTCATCCAGGTGTACATTTTCACAAAGGCTGGTTGCAGAGAATGCAGGGCTTTGGGAGTAGTACTGGGAACTGTGGAATCCATCTTTCCTGAGCTTGTCGCACTCTGGAAAGGTAAGCATAACCATCCAATCAAATAACAATTTGTAGTGTTAATGAGTATGTAAAGACTACTAAACACAGACCACAGGCCTATAGCAAGAATTTGAACATCAATTCATGCTACATTGTTGTGCACACTGCACAGGCAGTTCAAATAAATATTTTATTAATCAGACAGGCTATAAAATCAAATATTTATTTTCTTCAGGCAAAAATCACCCTGTGGAGAACTAAATGAAGCAATAAAAAGCAAAGTAAAAAAATCTCTTAGAAAAAAAAACAGCTGCAGTGCACATGTTCTATAAGTGGAAGAACTACTCATCAACAGAATTTAAATAAATGAAACACATAACTGTTTTTGAGAACAAATGAGAATGATTAAAGTATTTTTAGCCAGCATAGAATGCATCGTGATAAGCACACTGCAGAGAAGATATTTCACATAAAGGCTAATGACTCTTGTATCACACTCAGCAAATTACTGAACAGCTGCAGAGCCACAGTGTCCTTTTGCCCTCAGTGCAGAGAGGGCAATTACACAATGAAAGACAGTAGTGGTCTTATGCTCTAGGAACGAAAGAATGATAGATAGAACGATAGATATAATGATACATAGATAGATTTCTGTCACTAAGACATCCAGCCAAATAAAAGAGTAGTGTCTGTTTTTACTGTAGTTCAACCTGAAAATGGGAAAAAGGGGAAAACAGACATTTGGTGTGCCACCTGCTGCCCCGGCTGGAGCCAAGACATCTCACAAACACACACTGGTATATTAGCATTCCAGAGCACCTCGGAGGACTAGTTATTTAGGAAATAGCAAGGTCAAATGAGAGAATTTAAGAGGAGTCATCAAAGTAAAATGTATCTGGTTTTCAGATACAAAGGGAAGTGATGTTGTTCACTGGTATAAGATAATATACCCAAGTGCAGCAGAAGGTCAAATGACGAGGACATATGCCATTAGGCTCTACTGAAGCTGGTTTGGGAAGGTATTTAAAAATCCCTGTGGGGAGTGTATTGATACAAGGTAACATGAACCAGAAAACAGGCAAAGACACAAAACCAGGAAGATTCAGAAACAGAGAGCGTAAAGTCGACAGGAAACATCATTCACGATCCATTTTACTTCCATTATGTCAAATATTTCCAAGTGGAACAAATGGACATAGACATTAAGTGTTCATGTGTATGGTGGTACTTCATGGAATCATTTGGTAATTGGTTCATATTTTTAACCACTATTTCAAACATCTCTCCAAAATTGTGTGTCTAATTTTGTGGAGGACATGCATTTGTTTACAGTATATTAGAGACAATTTGTGTTCTGTGCTCCTGTGCAAGAACTTTTTGCAGTTTTGCAGTCAGATTGCAGTTGAAAGTGGAAAATGACCATTTCCTGCCGACCCTCCCTACTAATGCTTCTTTTTCAAATGTATTGTTACTATTGTCAAAAACTTTATTGAATTAACATTAACTGGCAATAAGTTGGCTTTCAAAAGATTTTAGAAATGTTTCATTACAGTAGTCTAAAACAGTGGTTTTCAGTCCACAACAGTGCACATTTTTATGTCTTTATTATTAACACACTTGATTCAGATCATCAGCTTATTAGAACTCAGCTAATGCCAGGTATAGCCTACACTACATGATTTTAGGCCCGATTTTCACTTGCCGACATGCTTTTTTGGAGATCACAGATGAAAGCCCAAAATCTGAGGCAAATCTGTGCTCCTTCATGTGAGTGACAATCACATAGTGTGAATTATCAAAGATGCGATCTGAGTGAAGCACCAATGCGTTGCCTATGCCTGAGAAATATTTAGCAGGCTAAATATCTGGACCTGTCTGCAATTCAGAGTGTTGCATTGTGAAATGTGTTTTGGCTGGAAATGACATTGGCGACAACCTACAGCTAACGAGAGAGTAAGAGACAGGGCAATGCGTTTATGCGTGTATACGTTTTGTAAATGAGACAGAGTTGTCGGGGATTCTTCCTAGTGAAATATTGCGTAATGTATGACCCCCAGTCACTGATCCATCGTGTAATGTGCAATCCACAGCAACTTTATGATACCCAAAACAGCCTTGATCTGACAATCGTGTAGTATATGAGCGGCATAAGAGAGACATTCAAGATGTGCAGTGCTATGGGTCTGCAGGACCGGGATTACAAAACACTGACCTAAAACAATGCCTAAATAGCTATTTTGTGGAGTTGAAGCAGGGTTATAACATTTGCATCACAGGCAGTATACTGTCAAAATGCTCTGCTTCATTACAGGGTAAAATGGTTGTGCAATGGAACTTTCTGCACAGTGGTAATGTTATCTTCATTATAATGGTCAGTGGTCTGTAACACAGAAATCACATATCCTTCTGCAGGGCATTTTGTATTTGCTGATTATATGAAGCAATTATGATGAATCTTATCTTCTAATGAGTCACTGCTTGTACTGTTGAGAGTATAATTGTGTTTTGCATTTTTTTAAAATTAAGAGAAAAAAGTAGTGTAGTTTTTGTCTCTGACCTCTGAGGACTGTTTTCAGGTTGACTTTGGCCTGACGGTGAAGGTCCTCGACGCAGGCTGGTCTGGATCCTGGCAGGAAGACATTCTCCTGTTGGTGCCAGGGGGCTGTGTAGTGCACCGACCACTTGCTCTCCTCATCTAGACTGGACACCGCTATAAGAAACAAGGACACATTAAAATTCAACATGTTTAAAGGAAGAAGGTCAGTGGTTTGTGTAAAAGTGCATTGCAGCTGCTTAGGTTTACAGGTAGACTGATGAAAATTGTATATATAAAAAGATTTACAGTGTCTTTCTTGTAAATAACAAATGGGAGACATTAAATGAAAGTGCACTAAACTTTGGTGTTGCTCTACCCTGCTGAAAGACCAGCTTTGTCCAGAATGAGCTTCCATTGATGGTCCAGGTTGGTTTATGCTCATTAGTGTCGGTTAAACTGGTAGACTGGGCAGTGTTGGGAAGGTTACTTTGGAAATGTAATAGGTTACAGATTACGGCAGGAAGTTCTTTGTGGTGAAGCTACAGTAGTTAACCATGGAAATGTTAAGACGCACATTAAGGACACAACATATGTGACCAGAAATGTGCGTCTTTTCAATGAAAAAACCTGAGTAACATTGTCTTTTAGGACTATTTAGGGGTGCATAATTATACAGTACAGGTACCTTGCTGATAATAGTGATATTTGTTATTTAGTTTTACATATAAATTACCTTTGACATCATTTAACACTCAAAGTTAACCTTCAGTAAATAGTAATATATTAGTAAATCTCAAAATGAAAATTCAGCCTTCATATTTTCATCTATAATTTTGCCTACGTTCACTTAATTAGCATTTAATTATTTTGTTTATTTTTTGTGTATTGTGTCTTTATTTACTTATATACTATACATAAAACAGTACAATTATATTATAATATACAATTATATTATATTAGTGCAATTATAATATTGGACATAACAACAAAATAATTACTGGCTTACTGGTATTAGCCAGAATTTTAAGATTAGTTTCAATTCTAATCAACTCAATCCAGATGTCAGCATGAGGAGATATAATTCAGACAGAAAGAAAAACTCCGCCTGTGGCTGCTGCCGTTGGGCACATGAGATTTGGGAGCTGCAGTCATGTGCGGTCTCTTAGGCTCCCTCAGAGACAACACATGAAAAACTGCACGAGGGGCCGGGCCAATCTAACACTTCTGCACCACTGCGTCTAAAGACACTGGAGACATACTTGTCTCTGGCTGGTGCCTTGACAACCCACATTAAACGATCGATGGGCAAATGTGCAAACAAGTGCAGTACAGATGTAATCTAAAATTAGATGTACATTAGATGTACATTTACAACAATGCGTTTTTATACTGTATATAATAATCTACACATACACACACATACATATAATCTGCATCATTTGGTGAACACTTAAGGTAGAATATATAAAAAATGACCGAAATAGGGCATCACAGCATTACATCACCAATAAAATTCACTTAAAGTTGCAGAACAAGGCCACTATAAGGAGACCAGTGCCCTGCTATAAAAGGAAACTCACAAACAAATGTAGCACAGCGCTCCGAATCAGATGCATGCAACCCACAGCAGCAGTGATGAATAACCCCACACCCCAAACTACTTGAGTCTACTTGACCTTGAGCTGCACAAGCAATAAGATAAACCAGAACGGGCAGAGTACATGATGAGAGGAGCTTACCCTTCTTTTTGAAGTACTTAATGACAGATTTAAGAGTGGTCGCGATGAACACCATTGTGATGGGTGATCGATCCCCTGAGAGATGTGCGCATAAGGATGTATTAGTCTACCATCGGAGCGAATGAGTGTGAGGAAGAGAAAGGGGGGAAAAACCCACCACTACCCATACGACACTCTCTCTTTACTTATTTTACGCTGACTGGCACAGCATGCAACACTCCCCCTCCTCTTCTATCTCTCTCTCTCTTTCTCTATCACTCTCTCTCACACACATTAGCCCACCGCAGAGGATATTCAGTTGCTGTTTGAGTTGTACTCTCTCTCTCTCTCTCTCTCTCTCTCTGCATCCACCTTCATCAATTGTGCGTCTCTCCTCCCCTCATGTCTCTAGCTATAGAGCATGTCTCTCTGTCGCATTGCATAGGTTTAAGTCTCTCTCACCTTGCCTTTACTGCTGTGGAGGTATAACCAACTTGGATCCGTGCCATACACTATGGATCACTGACAATCAGTCTATTGTGTTTCTCTACACCGCTGCAGCCCCTGCCAGTCCTCCTTTCGCTCTGTCCTTTTTCTTTTGAGCTGGGGGGCCCAGGACGAGTTTGAAAAGCATCCTAGAGCATTCAGCAGAGATTAAGGTGGTGGTCACCCACCAAGCTCCTATTTAGGGGCTCACTGCTGCAGTATTTCATTAGTGTCGAAGCAAGTGTAAGTTTCTTTCTCTTTCTCGCTCTCCTTTTTTCCTTTCTAATGAACTATGAATGGCCACTCAGCATTTTCACACGTGAGGTTGGTCAGAACTGAATTTAGATTCAGTGCACACGACTCACAGCTGTGGGTTTGCGATATCACTGTATGTCTTTGACATTGTCATGAGCCTTTGGACCAGAGAAGACATATTGAGTAGTTTTCAGACCTTCAAGTTGGGTTTCTTGAGAAAAGGACATTTAAACCTGATATTTACCAAGCCAGGCATGCCAATCAGTAGTGCTGTAAATTAGAGCCCTCTGTTCATCATAGCACACTCAGATAACACACAGATGGCCATGATGCATTGACACTGATCCAACGTGGCTACCATCATATAGAGCGTGACGACCACTCAGTAGCACAGCAAATGTCGCTCCCTGTTTTTATGCACTTTATGAATAAGAATTGGCTACAAAAATCTGAAGTATTCTGTAATAGTTTGTTAGAGCAATTTTACAGCAGTGGTAAAAATGTTAATTGCCCCTTGTCCACTAAAAAACATATTTGGTAGATCCCCCTTATGTCAAATTCTAATTTACTGATTCTTATTTTAATTTTACTTTCCCAATAGACCATTTTGATTGGGGGTGAATTTGAGTAAATATTGTGCAAAATATATTTCTAAATTGCAGCTTTGTGTACTTTTCATCTGTAACATTGGAACATATTTAATGAATCTGGTTTAGGTTCTGGTTCCTCTCAAAAAATTCTAGTTCTTGCTAATGGTGTGTTTAAAGTCATGATGAAACATCTGAGTGAAACAGATTATAAGAAAGGAGTGGGATTTAAGCATTCTAAATGATTGGAGAAGTCCGGCATATGTCACCAGGGAGAAGTCTGTTGTTTCACCAGAAGATCGAGTTATGAAATTTTTCATAATTTTTATAATACATTTTTTAATGCACAGATGAATTAACATCAACTTTCATTTTCATGCCAATTTTTTAATGACCCTTCTCTGTCTTTTAGAGGCAACTACATATTAAACAGTACACAATAACAAAAACCCATAACAAAAAAAAAAAAAATTCTTAATGTAATGCGCTGTAGATAAAGTAGCAGTTTTGCGGTACCACCAGATAGTAGTATCGGAAGCATTGTCATAATATTTTAATAAAGTGTTTTGTCTGCATTGGCAAAAGAATGTGCATGAAAGAACTGTTAACTGAAACGAACATCATTTGGCTCCAATATTTACAAAAACAGACATCTTGGTTCCTTACACTAGTTGTAGCTACTGCTTCTAGAGCTGCTTTGCTTGTCTTTTTCCTGGTTGATGTTGTGTATTCCGTTGGCTCACCCTGGCTCAGCTAAAGGGCACACTCATAATGAGATTGGGGTACAGCCCCCTAAAATGCTAAAAACTTTCTGCCTGACTGATCCTATTGTGTTTAGTGGTTTCCAGCACTACCAGTCCTGAAACACACATATATAAACACACAGAAACTCTAGCACTCCTCCCCATGTCCCAGGCAAAACATTAACTGGAGAAGACAAACTTATCCATGCAAAGCAGCTGGAGGGCCAACAGAAATGCCTATTAAACACTAGCCTGAAGAGATGAACAACAGCTAAATGAATATACCTCACATAACGCAATATTGTTTTTCACTCACTGTATACCCAAAGAACATATGGCAAATTGCATTCGAAGAAACATCTCTTAATGACTTGCGCCGATATACAAACCATAGTTCAGTTGGGATTGTAATGCTGCACTCGTGCTGATACAATAGAAATGAATAGGACTATAATGAGACAGAATGGGGATTGTGAACAAAACTCTGGCAGTGTGTGGACTCCCTCAAAGACATCTCAGCTATTGTGTGTCACTGTGTGAAAATGCCAGACAGACATAAAAACGTAGTATACCACAAAAGACAGGAAGGAAAAGGAAGAAAGCATTTGAACTTTAATGAGGAATGGGTTCGTAGACAGGGTTTGCTCTGTATGTATAATGTATAAGGTACAAAAAACTAGCATCATGCTCTTTTTTTTTTCCTTCTTTTTTGAAGGGGAAATCAGTGGCAGTTCTGGCTGCCAATTGGTGTCCAAATGAAAGATAAGACATGACTAAAGAAAAAAAAAATTTTTTCTTTATCCCTTCATTTATTAGAAAGTTAGATTTTCGGCTAATGTACATTGGTTAGCTGCTTCAAAGAATAAATAATTATCTGTTATCATTTGGACAAAATTTTACATATTGGTGCATCCCTATTTAAAATACATTTGCTGCATGATACTTTTGCATTCTTTGCACTGAAGACCAGCAGAGCAAAATCCTCAGTATTTTTAAGTCAGAAAGGTTTCATTATTATTAACTATTAAATCTCGAATCAGAATCTTCCATCTTAACGTTTATTCCATTTCCTCTGATTGAACAGTCTTAACAAATGCAAATAAATATTCACTGCAATCACTCTCATATTCATGTATTCATAAGAGACATAATAGTAGTTGAAAAGGTTAGGCTGTTCTATCACCTTTAATCAAAGCAGCCATCGCACTGACAGCAAAAACATGGATGATTAGAGAGAATCCAAAAAAAGAGTCCCCTAGCAACAGTAGAGGAAAAAGAGGATACTTCAGCGAGTGAGCGAGTCACATGAGGCCAGCCCACACCTGCACAACAGCCTTTATCATTCGTCCTGCATGCTGCGGTTCACACAATGGACCCACTCAGTCCAGTGTCTGCAGTCACCAGGTTAACAGCCTCTGCCCACATATCACTGGTGAAAACAAACATGCAGGACAATTGGACAGATTTACAAGTATAAATCAGAGGAGCAGTCAATATGTACTGATCATAATGTAAAAATGCTGCTTACAGAATGTATCGTAATCCAGATACTTCCTGAAACAGGTTTTATGAATCAGCTATGCCTGCATGATGTCATCTAGTGTCACGTTACGACGCACAGATGGTCATAATAGGAAAAAAAAAAATACCATAATTCCCACTGGTTATAAGCAACTGACAGACAAGCGAACATTACTGCACCTCAAGCATGCGGTTTATTGAGATGTGTACTATTAAAAACATTCTTAAATCAAGATATTTTTACTTGAGAAGCAAAATGATTTAAGTCTTGTTTTTTTTTAAATTAAGTTAATTATTGCCAGTGGAGTCCGAAAAATAATCTTGTTTTCCCTTTGAATTAAGTTTATTTTTCCGACCTCAGTGGCAGATTTTTTTTTCTCCTAAGGCAGTGTACCAAACAGTCTCTCTTAACTTATTGCTTTATTACTGGGTGGGTGAAAATAAACATGGATATGCAAGAGAATCGGCGTTATTATCTGAGTTATATTCTCTAGTTATTACACACAACAAAACCCATGTGCCTGACTCTTACATGACCTGGTTATGGTTACTAGGGTAGCTGTGTGTGAATTTGGTGATAAAATCCATCAAGGGCTTGCAAGGGCTCTACATCTTGGCTCTATTCTAAATCAACGAGACCCACACACAATATGCCTGAGTGAGGCATTCCCCGTGTATCATCAGCCTTACAGTTTAGATCGAGATGTTTAAGTCAGTAAGATTTTTTTTTTCAAATAAATTAATTATTTAATTCAGCAAGTATGCATTAAATTGATCAAACGTGACAGTAAACACTGTAAATTTATGTATGATTTTTTTATTTCAAATAAACACTGCTCTTTTGAACTTTCTATTCAAAAAAGAATCTTGAAAAAAAGTGGTTTCCACATAGATCAGGGCCGAACAATATATTTAAATAGAAAACAGTGGTTTTAAATTGTGAGAATTTCACAATATAATTATTTTACTGAGTTTTTGATCAAATAAATGCTGCCTTGGTGAGAATAAGAGACTTCCTTCAAAAAATCTTATACCAATATTTAATCATTTGCACATTTTTCTAAACACAAACAAAACTTCAATAACTTGTTTTTATTTATATGCTTTTGTGATTTCTTGAAAGATATCTGACTTGGTCCATGTAACGCTTCACAATTCAATTTTCACTCACGTTTCCAAATTTCCTTTGGTATATTAGCACAATTTGTTTATGTCTCCCAACCAGGACACATACAGATAGATAGGAATATTCATCACTTTAGATAGACACCAAATTTTCTTTCTATGATTCACAAATAGTGTGGTGAACAATATCTCTCCCTTTCATTAGAGAACAGTCCGAAACGGTTCGGTACGAATACGTGTACCGTTACACCCCTACTGTATATACATCAAAAGTGGCAGTAAAGACCTTTACATTGTTATTTCTAATTAAAATTAATGCTGTTTGTTGTAACTTTACATTCATTAAAGAATCCTGAAAAAATTGTTTATGCTTTCCTCAAAAACATTAAGCAGCTGTTTTCAACATTGACAATAATAATAAATGTTTCTTGAGCACCAAATCAGCATATTAGAATGATTTCTGAAGGATCATGTGGCACTGAAGACTGGAGTAATGATGCTGAAAATTCAGCTTTGCCATCACAGAAATAAATGACATTTGAAACGGTATTAAAATAGAAAACTCATTTTAAATTGAAATAATTTTTCACAATATTACTGTTTTTACAGTATTTTTGATCAAATAAATGCAGGCTTGGTGAGCATAAGAGATTTCCTTTAAAAAACAATACAAAAATCTTACAGCTTACAAAGTTTTGAACGTTATGGCAATTCTTTTATTTTATTTTTCAGCTTAACACCCTCAGTTAAGACAATGGCTGTCATAGCATGTTTCATAACAGATTAATTTAAACATACTGTACATTAAATAATTAAGACTAACAGGTTTAGTAAAATATAATGAGTATATGGTGTAATAAATACTTTTATTTTATTTTTCAGCTTAACACCCTCAGTTTCCATTCACTTTGTTGTATGGAAGAGAGCGGTATGAACAATCTGCGAAACTTCTCCATTTGTGTTCCACAGAAGAGAGTAAGTCATACATTTTTGCACAATATAAGGGCGAGTAAGTGATGACAGAATTTTTATTTTTGGGTGAACTGAGGTCCCAGTCCTCTCAGATTCCTTTAGAAAAAAATTAATTATCATTCAAACTAAAAATAAATAATGAAACTGTGAATTGTAGCAGAATCTGCAATGTAGAAGAATGGTGCCATCTTGTGGCACTACATATTATCTCAGCCTTTCATAAACTGACACTGGAGAGGGGAAGGGAGGGTCTCTTGGGAACTTGATGATGACAAAAACATTTTAACACTAGGAAGTGCAGGTCAGTGCCCCGTTGTAGTGACATTCATAGAGAAAGAGGTGTGTGTGTGTGTGTGTGTTTGTGAGTGAGATGTGTGTGTGCTTCCCTGAGCAGCTGTATAGCACAAAGCCTATTTGAAAGTAATTACATTAATTAGACCGCATTAGAAGTGTTTACCACACCGTATGGACTGTAGGCCACCTCACTAAATAAGTATGTGCTACTGTCCAACACGTCTGAAGAGAAGCTGAATCCAACAAAGCATTTTAAAACAAATGACTGCCTCAAACACAATTACAAACCATTATTGTAATATTAGGACAGCTGATTGATTTTATAATAAATATTTGCAGTCATATTTGTTATAATTTTTCTTTTCTTTTTGCTTTACTGACAGTAACATTTGAACGGTGTGAATGCCACAAGTTTGTGTAAAACCTGAAGATCATGTTCTCCAGCACGATTTAAGAATTATCCAAAAAGAATCAAGAACTGAATTTTGATGGGAGTGGACTGTAGGTCACATACGGTTTTTCAGAGACATCTGTCTGCACATCTGATGTAAGTGAAGGGAGCAGCTTGCCTGGTGGCTGGGATGAGATTTTAACACAGCCCTAAGAAATCAGCTATGTTGTCTGCCAAGAACCTTGAGGATTAGTAAACATCACATACTCTTCATCTTTCCATGTAAGACCCAAACTAAAACTCTGCTCTAAACAAGCCCGTGCTAAGACTATGACTGCATATAAAAAAAGGATTAATTTTACATGCAATATGTACACATATTTAGTTCTGGATTAGTCTTAAAAGTAACTTCAGATGCAGTGGGTTTAATCTGAGCAAATCAGCCCACTGGAAAATCAGATTTGTTTATGACAACATATTACGACTGCAGAAGTGCAGTTCATAAATTAAATTTTTACAGTTTGTAAACATAAATGTAAAAATCACAAAAGCACATAAATTATTACAATTAAAACCGCAGATATAAAAGCAAATTAAAAAATATTAGTAAATACTATAATAGCATATAAAATAACTGGCCTGATTCATGAACAAATCATTCTTTTGAGTCAGATTGCTTTGATTTTTCTGGTGTATCTGCAAGCTTTAAAGTTTTTAGTTCCTATTGCTTGTAATCATCTGGAAAACGGGTCGGTATGTTATTCAACATATTTCCTTTAGTATTCCACAGAAGAACGTCATACAGATTTAGAACGACATCAGAGTAAGTAAATGATGACAAATTTGCAGTTTACAGTGAAATATCCTTTAAAGACAGATAAAACCTAAATTGAAGAACATCTCTTTGAATAATCCTGTATTCTCTTATGGAGCAGATTCTCTAGAAATCTCTCTTTAGTTCAGTAACACTTGCTGCTATTGTGTATCTCAGCACTAGACTTGTCATGGCCTGCCACGTTCCAGACTTCAAACTGGGCAACATATTAAACTATACTTTAATCATCGCTCTTCAACTTTTCGCCACAAAAAAACTTGTCAGAACCCATCAGAGTTCCAAAGGTCTATAGCTCTGAATTTTAACACCTGCTAATACTACTGGCCATTCTTTGTTATGCCAACAGAAATTATAAAGTGAGATAATTAATCTTTGAGCACCAGCTTTTGCACTTAAGCTACATACAAGAGCAAACTAGATTTGAAGCGCTACCTTTCCAGTCGTGGCAGGACGGACTGAAGGTGTAGTTGGGCTGGCCCTGCAGTGGGACGCCCTTTCGAGCTGGTGGTCTCGCCCAGGGTTTGGGTGCCCATAGTGCATCTTGCTGCTGGTGAATTTTGGAGGTGAGGAGTCTGCGGCGAAGGCTGCCCTCCGTCTTGTGCTGGAGGTTCAATTTGCGAGTATAAAGTGGAAGAAGTTCATCTTCGTCCTCATAGTAGGTCCTATTCCAGCATTTCCCAGCTGGTTCGGTAGAGAGGCAGTCCACGTATGCAATCATCCTGTGTTTGACAGAAGTATCTCAACTTCAGTCCAGTTTGGGACGTTCAACCACATGTTCCCACATCCACCCGTTTCCTTTTTATCTCCACAGAGCCAGGACAACTAGGCGTACAGAGAAACCTCCACAAACATTAGGTTTCCACAAGTCACTAATCATGCTAGAGTTGGACAACATTCCGCAAGAGCAAATCTGGTTTCTCCATAGACAAAAAGATCAAACACGAATCAGTGAAAACACATATTTTGTTGTCCTCTCACTAACAACTTAAAGCTTTAGACTGAGAGAATGTGCAAGTTAGCTTGCTTGTATAATCTGTAAACCAGGATTATCCTTTTACATCCAAGTGCTGCTTGAAGGCAGGCTTTGCACTACAGATGGTCACCTGGGAAAAGGTGAAAAATAATGCTGAACTAATTAAAAAAATTTTTTAACCTAATGCTCAAAAAGGAGAAAAAAAGAAGAGTTGTATTTTAACATTACTTTCCCCTTTGACCTCCACTGGAACTACAAATAATGTTCAAAATGGCACAATATTTTACACAAAACATTTGAATTGATAGTCTATGTTTTACACATTGGTTCTATAATTCTACTAGCCTGGTTGCTGTTTTAGAATTAAGTTTTTTTTTTTATAAAATACTTAAACCAAGTTGAGGGTAATAAGTGCTATTATATTTGTGTTGCAACTCCCGGTAGTGGGTATGCTGTAACTACAGCACTCATGTAATTTACATGATTTAGTTATAAGTTGTAGATTTCAAAACAACTTTAATTAGCAGCATATAAATGTGATTAAACTATATCAAAGTTTGAGATAAAGTAAATAAATAGCTAAAAATTATTAAATAGCTAGCAAATAAATAATAAACTAATAAATTATAAATAAACCGTCAGTCTTCCATATCTTCTTAAAACCAACTTGAGTCACTTTCACAGCTGTTTGTGGCCATTGGATGAATAGAACATGAGAATTAGAGAGGCAGCGAGGGAGAGAAATACGATACGACCAACAGATAGTCAGACAGAAAGAGCATTGTACTCTAGTTATCTCTAGCAAATGTAACTGTCTAAGTCAAGATAATGAGTTGAGCCCAGGATGGGTGACATAAATCTGGGGCTGCAAAGATATCCCTTACCCAAACAGATCAACAACACACACCTAAATTGTATTTCAGCACTTTATGTTTGCATAGACAAGCTGGATATAATATAATCGTCCAATTCATCGTGATCAGATCTGATTAAACTCCATCCGGGGTCTAATCCAAACCCTTGAGCTCAATTCTTTGGATGACCGCCAAAGGCAGGAACTGGACCAGATGAGAATTCCAGCAACCAGAAGCTATCCTGCCAAGAGCTTAAACTTACATACAACCACCCTGGCCCAAAGAGAGCTTTTCACAGAAATACTATCACGTCCACATAAATCTAGGCTTATCATGTAACATGCCTGGCAGCAAATGTTGAATGTATGTCCGTTCTGTGCGCCGTGTTAACCTAAATGAGTAACATTGTATTGAAGTTTACACAGTGACGTGGCCACTTTGAGGGTTTATCATGGAGCAGAAATTTCAGAGTGCTCTAAGTCTCTTTCCCAGAAACTTCTTTTGTTGGAAGCAGTGAAGTATGTGTTCGTGTGGTCATTGCTCACTGGTCTGCAAAGCATCTGGATCCACTTAATTGAATGAACAGTTATGCATTTGTGAAGACGCAGTGCAAATTTGTTAAAAGGGTCATATGATGCAATTTCATTTTTCCTTTCTCTTTGGAGTGTTACAAGCTCTTGGTGCATAAAGAAGATCTGTAAAGTTGCAAAGACTAAAGTCTCAAATCCAAAGAGATATTCTTTATAAAAGTTAAGAGTCAACCACGCCTACCTAAAACGGCTCGTTCTAACACGCCCCCACATATCTACATCACTATGTGGGAAATTTGCATAACGCCGCAAAAAAAAACTTTTTGTGACAGAAGAAATTCGAAATGGCATGTTTATTGATTTTCTTGAGCTCATTATGAATAAAAGCGAGAAAATGAGAAAGCCAAACAAAATTAGAAACCTAATAGAATCCCACGTTCTTCCAAAATTTATTTTTCCTCCTATAGAAGAAAGTAAACTTAGATTAGTTCCTCCAACAAATCACACAAACCATTGGTTCTGAATAGAGATTGTGCGCCTCCACTAGGTGCAAGTCTGCACCACCCGAATCCCTGCTTGCTTGGGTGCACAAACTTCAAGGTTGGGGGGGTTCAACAAAGGTTGCCATGGAGTCCCTGTAATTCAGCCAGAGGCACCTGCTGGAGCAGACTGTATGCTCAACTCTGTGTGCACGGCTCTATTGTTGTTTCCATTTGGATAATTTCTATCCTTTGTCATTCTTGACTCAGTGGACGTGACCTCGATCAGACGGAGCTGTTGTGTGTTGAGTTGCCTGTCATTTAATATTCTGTATACTACTAATATCGACCATAACATGATAAATATTATCAGCTTATCCTATATGCCAGAATTAAAAAAATGGAACATCCCTAATCTCAAATCAGGTTTTACACAATTTGAGGAGTTCATTTCAGCTTAAAAGCTGCTGTCATTACAGCAAAAGGAGGGTGTGCACAAATGTACATATTTCAGATACCACTTTACTTGTATATATAGCTATCTACTGTGCACATCCATGTCCAATATGGATTAATGGAATGCCAGTTTAAAGCTGTTAATGACATTCCCTCAGTATTCCAGTATTCAGACCACCAGTGTTCCCAGCTAGACTGCAATATACATATACAAAGATCACTGTTAGTAAATTTGAGGATTGTGAAATATTTGATGTGAACTTTCAACGTTGTAACTACTACACAGTAGTGCTAGTACACCACATCATTCTTTTAAGCAATAAATAACTTGAGTTCAAAAGACATTTGTACAGTGGAAAACCACAGTCCATTAAACTAATTTTACAGATGCTCTGTATCATACACTCCTACGAAGAAGCATCTTGGAGGAGGAAACCATTTTCAGCTTTTGGGCTACATTTCCAAATCCTCCCATCTGTCAATCTCTCAGTGTTTTGTCCCTCATTCTTTCCACAGTGTCTTAAAGAATGCAGTAACATCCTGAGTCTTTGATTCAACAATAAAATCATTAACTAGATTCCATCTTGGAATCGTCCCTTATGGCATTTCTGAAATGAAGAATGACCTTTCTTTGCCTATTATCTTAACCCTGAAAATAACTGCAGGCCAAACTCGATGGACTCCACCAATGTTACAGGGATCAGACTCAGAATTCCACTAATGTGGAAGGGAGGGTCGGCTCCGCACACACCTAGCGACTGAGACCCTCATGTGGGGCTGACATATCTGGAATGGCCATCATTCTTCAGGCTCCAAGCCAACCCTGGCTAATGTCCATGATTCATAACTGTCACATGAACCATGAATGCCTCGTGTGAAATGGGAAAAAGTGCATAATGAGACATTCATGAGATTCAAATCCAGGTGTTTTAACAATTAAGCCTGGATAATCACACCAAGATTTGGAAAAATTATCATCCTGACAGCTGAGAAGCCCGTAAGACGCCATCTTCTGCATCTTCAGTCCAAAGCAAGCAAAATCAAGAAAAAATCCTCCTACTTTAACAGATATGATGAGATGATTGGTCCTATGGGTAGGATTGCAAAAAGAGCAAGACAATAATTGGATTACATCCAATCAGCTGCTCTGGCTCTTCTGGAAAACAGTAAAATGGAGAGAGTGAGGCGGGTACCTTTATCTAGGTCAAGGAAGCTTAATTTATTTTAAAAAATCTTACACAGAAGAGCACTTTCAGGCTTTTAAAGTGAATTACACTCAGTCCCTGCCTCCCACGAGAGTCATCTCCACTTCTCATTTAAGTCACAGAAGGACGCTGATTTGTTTCAAGTCCTGAGGAGCAGCTGACTAACAGAATGCTCTTTTAGCTGCTCATCAGGGAGCCGCTAAACTGTCTCTCCATCATGTGACACTTTTAGAGAAGCCTGTGAGTTGTGGGTCACCGCATACATTTGCATTCAATGATTTCACCTCTGACAACAGGAGTCAGTCCATAAAGCAGCTTTACTTTATGAGAGCAGACAAACTTACTTTGGATGCTGGTGTGCTCTTCAGGAAAACAGTAAAATGGAGAGAGTGAGGCGGGTACCTTTATCTAGGTCAAGGAAGCTTAATTTATTAAAAAAAATCTTACACAGAAGAGCACTTTCAGGCTTTTAAAGTGAATTACACTCAGTCCCTGCCTCCCACGAGAGTCATCTCCACTTCTCATTTAAGTCACAGAAGGACGCTGATTTGTTTCAAGTCCTGAGGAGCAGCTGACTAACAGAATGCTCTTTTAGCTGCTCATCAGGGAGCCGCTAAACTGTCTCTCCATCATGTGACACTTTTAGAGAAGCCTGTGAGTTGTGGGTCACCGCATACATTTGCATTCAATGATTTCACCTCTGACAACAGGAGTCAGTCCATAAAGCAGCTTTACTTTATGAGAGCAGACAAACTTACTTTGGATGCTGGTGTGCAGTGTGTTGGTGTACAATTAGCTTAAAAAGGAAAATCCACAAGGGTTCTTGAGGGAAGATGAGGAGCGCTGCTGGTGTTGATATGAGTGATATGAATGCACTTGTTTTGGAGCTTGACTTTAAAACACAAGCCTGTCTCAACCTGCACAGAGCCCTCAGCTACAGGCTGACTGCATCCAAGTTCATAGTGCTGCTGCAAAGGACAGATTTTTGTAAACAATTCTGTTCATAATACAATGAAGTATGCTTTAGGCCAGTTTTCATGCAGTTTAGTGGATCTGATCTATTATATATCTATTTCAATCTATAAGTTGAAGAAAATACTGAAAGAAAACGCACTATTCAACCAAACTAGCCAGCAAAAAGAATTGTTTTAATAAAATAAAAGTATGTTTATGAAGTTTAGTAGGGAAATTGGAGCTAGTTGTCACAGTTTTTCTCAAGTCTCAAGTCTACAGTTAAAAGATACAGTTAATTTAACACGCGCTTTGTGACAACATGCCCCATTAGCACTGTAGGAGTTGTCACAAACTTGCCATCATTACCGGTACTGACTTTTCAGCAAAACGTAAACCATAAAAAACTATGAATAATGAAACAAACAAAATTTAGAGGAACAGCAAAAATATTAAATATAAAAAACATATTGTAACAAATAAATTACATTAAAATAAAATTAAATAAAATGATGATGTGTGAAATGTGATGGCATGAAAAATGCC